TCCTTTAATTTCTTTGTATTTTCGTTCACGGCAACTAGAATTACCCAACCAAATCATCAAGTTCATGGTGCTTGTGGCCTTGAAATGGAATTTTCTCTCCTCCTAAATTTTTGTATACCAAAAATAGAAAACAACCACTTCTAGAACAACCAAGGGCAGCAAAAGAGTTTTATAATTACATGCTTGCCAAAGGCGAAACCAGCGTATATTTGGTAAATTCTTGCCTACAAGAATATATCTTGGAAGTTGGAAGCATGTTTTTATCGAGGAGTTATCTCCCATTTTATGCAGTTAATAGATGTTTGTGACTCCAAAAAAAAACACACACACACACACTTAAAAAGTGTGTTTGGATAGAGGATTATTTGAGACAATTTTTTGAGAAAAATACTGTAACATTTTTTTTTTGATGAGATGTATATGAAATAAAAGAAAAATTAAAAAATCTATTGATGATACAAGTAAGTAAATCAGTGTATGTAAATAAGATGCAAACCAAACTAATTATGGTTGTTGCTGCATGATTAGACTCTGGCTGGCTTTTACTACAAAACAAAATTTAACACAGTATCTGCTGTATTAATCTGGATCTATTTTTTTTTATTGTTTTATTTGATAATTGATACCAATGAGAGAATGTGTACAGCTACAAGCAGTAGATAAATCAGCATCGCTTTAGGGCGGCTCGAACATGCAAAACATCCATTGTCCTTGTCAATAATTTTGGTTGTGGGGTATTGATGTTTGTTTAACGAACTGAATTAGAATCCAGAGCATCTCTCAAACAACTTTGTCCGTGATTAATTGTTTTTGTTAAAAAAAACATTTATCTTTTTTTTTTTAAGAAAAATATTTGCTTTTCCATTCCGAATAATTACTCTTTTAACTCCGATTTATGAGTGAGACAACATGCTAGTGACATCAAGAAGTAGCTAAGGGAAAAAGATAAGGCAGAAATATTAGTGGATAAAGCTTTCCATAAAATTAGATGACATTAACCTGTCCCGAGTATTCATTTGCATTAGAGTTTTCTTTTTTCAGAAATTCCAAATATTTACCTCGTCGAAGATTAACTTATGGATTAACAATTGGAATCCACATAGTCCTTTGATTGAAGCAAAACATCAGAGGTAACTTGGTTTTAATTTGGCATGGTTTAAACAGTATACTCTTTGGCATGCTTTTATCGTGTGGTTGGATTGTAAGAAACAGGATAGCAATTAAAGACAGGTTATTGTGATGGGGAGTTGTTTCAGAAGGATGATGTTCTTCATGCGCCTATATGCAAATGATTCACTGGAGCACCTGTTTTTCTCTTGTGAATATATATAGCTTATGTTTTGGGGAGAGTTCGAAGGCATTTTTGCTTGTTATATATGGGATTTATGGTTGTTCTCAAGAACTTAATTCAACATATTAATAGGGATGGCAATAGGGGCGGGTGACCCGCCCCGCGGGGGGCTAATGGGGAGGGGGTTGGGGCAGGGGCGGGGGGAATTTTTTTCCCCCCGCTTAGAAACAGGGCGGGGGCGGGGGGTAACCGCCACCTGCTTTAAAAAAATAAATATATAAAATATATATGTATATAATTATATATATAATATATAATTTAATTAGTTACAAACTTATGATAATGATATTATTAGTTATATGTATTATATAATGTCTATTAGTATATATAATATAATTGATATTATTAATTATACTAATAATTATATATGTGTACTAATACAAATTATTAATTGGTTATACTAAATTTACTAATACATTTATACTAAATCCCTAATTACACTTAATACAACAACATTTTTTTCTTAAAAAAAGCACAAGCACAATAATGAATTAGTGATTGTATTTGTGCCAAAAGTGAAAACTTGACTACTTTAGTTATATTTATTTCATCATGTTGGATTGTATTTAAATAATTTTTATTTGATTGTTTTTGTAAGTTTCAATTATAAAATTACAATGAATAATAATTTGATGATGTGTTGATATTTTAGTACTTGATTATTTGTTAAAATTTAACCATAATAAAATTATATAACAAATTTTTATTAGTCTCGCAGGAGCACCCGCGGGGAAAACGGGGCGGGGGGAGCGGGGGACGGGGGATGGAGGAGGGGTCCCCCATCCCTACATATTAACTATGGTTCTTTTATCACTATGGTCTGTAAATGTGCTTTTGCAGTGACTATTTATATTTTATACCCCCTATGGAGAGAGGAACAGAAGGCTGCTTTGTAGAAGCACTATGGCTGCAGATGCTATCATTCAATCAATTATGCAGATGATTGGGAATATTGTGTAAATTAGGAGTTTAGTTACAATGGAATTTTGTTCCTGATGTCTTTCCTTTGAATCAGATTATAGTGCAGGAGTTTTACTGCTTTGTGACTGCATATTGCTTTTTCTAATAAAAGTTTATTAATCGCCCGAGAAAAAATAAAGGCCATGGCTCGTCAAATCTTGATTTGCTCCTACGCTATTGCTGTGCCTAGAGATTGGCAATAATGTTTGAATTTGTAAAAATTTAGCCTAATTTGAAACTTTAACTCATTTTAATCTGTCGCGCACTCTCAAAATACTATGACACTCATATGTAAATTACATTAGAAAAGAAAATTTTGGAAGATACCATGTAATTGCAAGGAAGATAATGGAAATTATGCTTATTTGATGAATTTCTTAGAGGGCTTAATCCTAAAATCCGAAAAAATAAATAAATAATTTCTATCCTAGTTTTGTTTTAAAGGAAAAAGAAGGAAAAGAAGACCAAAACTTTTAGGGTAAAGTACATAAAACCCCCATGTGGTTAAGGAAATTGACACGAAACCTCCTCATTGTTTAGAAACTCTCACTTAACCCTCCTGTGCTTTGGACTTATTTGAATTTTACCTGCTAACCGGCTGAGGAGCCGGTAATAATATGAAATACCAAAAATACCCTCATATATAATATGTGAAAAGTTACAGATGCAACGAGTCAATCTGGAGCGGATGAAAGAAACTGAGAGAGAAACCGGGTTATTCTCTACCTTGGACATAGTTTGGATTATTCGGTCTTTCAGCTGAAGTAGTTCTTCAGCCTCGGACAGGGGACGCCTTAGGTTCTCTGGAAGATTTCTATTTTCCAGAAATAAGTGTTCTTGGATTTCCACCAGCGGCGGAGTAGGAAAGCGAGGCACGGAAAAGTGGTGGAGTTGGAAATTTTGGGAAAGGGTTTTTTGCAATCCATCCCAGTCAATCTCTGGATGCCGTGGAACTTCAATCCCCGGTTGACCCAAATGCAAGTCCAGATCAAGATCCCCCAAATCAGCATGAGGAATGGCCTGTTCCATCGCATAGGCCACCGGCAGCGGCACCATAGACATGAGAATGAAAGCAAAGGGAAGAATCTTTGCCGGTCCATTCACGACGAAGAGTTACCAAAAAACAGCCAAAATACTGCAAAGAAAGCAAAGGGTCAAGCATAATTAGCAAGGAAGACAAACGGTTGATGAGTAAACCTTGAGCAGGAGCTTTATCCGAATGCCAAAGGCAATAGAAAAGCCCCTTCCACAGCCTTTTCATATCATCCTCGGGAAGTTCGGTTTGAGAGTCTGACAGCCAAGCTTGAATTAGCTTGAGGGATTGGGATTTGATTGAGGCGTTGCAAGAGGCTAAGTGCTTAATCAAGGACGGCCCAGGTAGGGCTGAGAGGGTTGCTAAAAAGGGTTTCGGCTTTGGGGTTCGTGGAGGAAGCAGTAGACGTGGTTCCCGTTTTGTCCTTGGCTTTGATTTTCTGCATTTTCTGGGTTGCGGTTTCAGATTGGGAAGCAGTAGACGTGGTTTTTGCTATTTTTACAGGCTTGGAAAATTTGCTAACTAATCCTTAGACTATTTATGAAGTTTTAATATGGTGCGACTTTTGATTTACAACTGTTTGCTCCTCCAGCTGCCCAGTAATAACTCGCATCGCTCAGCAATACAGTTACCTTCTTCCGTTTTGCATCTTTGGCCCTTCCCGTCCAAACTTTGGGTCTTCGTTTTGCATCTCTGTCGAAATTTTTCATTTGCAGATCTACAACTATGGTGGGTGCAAGCTTGGAAGAGACATGGAGGACAAAATTGGAATGAAATGAGTTTCTGCTAGACACAAGTTACCATTAAGTCGCGTAAATATCACTCGCTAGCTCTCCAGCCGGTTAGCAGGTAAAATCCAAACAAGTCCAAAGCACAGGGGGGTTAAGTGGGAGTTTCTAAACAATGAGGAGGTTTCGTGTCAATTTCCTTAACCACAGGGGGATTTTATGTACTTTACCCAAACTTTTATGGCTTTCATGGGTTCAAGTTTCGTCCATTCGCGGACATGCGCATCCATCCAAGTCTGCTTTTCGGAAGCCGAGTCCGTTCATCAATTTTGGGCGAAAAGTGTGGCTCGAAATGGACAAGCTGCTTGCTTCGTACTGGTTTTTCCAACCCATCCAAGGTAATTCTGACGTGGCTCAGTGGGCTTATGAAAAATTGCCTGATATGAGACACTTATGAGGTTTTCTAATTTTGTTTGATGTTGGACCGGCCTAGCGCTAAACTCAAACCCATTTCAGCTTCTCGGTCCATGCATCTTGCAAGTTTATTTTATTCTACTGCTTCTTGGTCCAAGCAAATTCTTCTAGGATATCTTTAAAGTTTAATCCATATTTGTTTCTGTAATTTGAATTGCACTTTAAAACGCCAAAGGCAAAGATTCATGGCCGGTAAAACGAAGGCCATGAGGTTATATACTTAAAAACTTAATTGCCAAACAAGTTGGGTTTTAGGACATGCTGTCCAATGACTAGCTTGATTCGACATCCTTTAATTTCTCCATGAGATACGAAAGTTTCAGTGCAATAAGTGTGCCTTTTGACAATGAGGAACACCAAAAGTCTTTAGGGCTTGGTGAGTGGGAAGCCAACCTTAGCTCTCATCATTTGCTATTTTACGTGGTTTGTCATTTTAAGTTATTTTTTTTACATTCATACGGATTTGTAGTGTACCCGTTTGATCTGATGATGGTTGAATTTTTGTCGATTTTCCTGTAGATTCGATTGGACTTCCCCTAGAATAGGCTAAAATAAGAATAAGAGTAGGTATAAGATAGATAAGCGACAATTGACAAAAAAAATAATAATAAAGGACCATGAGGAACACCAGAAAATTATAAAAGTCCATTCAAACACACCCTTGGTCCACACTCTACTCAGTATTCAACGTTCAAATTTCAAGTTTCAATCCAACCAAAGGGCTTTATTTTCATTTTCCACTCACCACTCGCTGCACCACAAACTAACATCATAATTCTAGAAAATGACATAGAAATTCATAGTCAAAGCACATCCATTGGATTCTTTGCAACAAAATACTTGTAATTAGGATCATCAGACTCCACAGTAGGTTTTGACAAAAAAAAAAAAAAAAAAAAAAGACTCCACAGTAGGATTTAATTCGACACTTGGATTTCTGCCCCTCCTTAGTCAAGCAGAATAGAAGATACTTGTAGGGATCGAATGGCTTGTGCTGCAACGGATGCTCATCATCAACTAGCTTTTCTAGTACTTGAACCATCACGTCCCTTGTGAATGCAAATAGGCTGAGGGAATATCTTTCTTCACTCCCTGAATTTTTACCCGAGGAAGTGGAGGTTCGATCCTGCCATTAGTCCATGCCTAGAAAGGCCAAATTAAAACAACATTTAGATTGAAAATTAAGTCAAGCCAGTTTTAAGCATAGTTATTAAACCCGACCCGACCCGACCCGGCGGTTGAACCAGTCAAATTTGTGGACCCGCCATAAAATCGGGCAGGATTGATAATTGGATCGGAGTTGCAGATGACTCGTTTGGAATTGTTTGACCCGAACAGTCAAACTAATGACCTGCCAAACCCGGCAATTTTTTATGAATCCAGCGGGTTTCGAAATTTTTTGAAATTATCGTTTTACCCAATTTATTAATTTAACTGCCCATATCAGCATGGGCATTTGTTGTCTTTTTAACAATTAGATGAGAAAAATTGAAAAGAAATTTAGGATTTAGGATTTTTTTTCTTTCTTTGACACTTAGATTTGTCATTTATATTTGTGTATAATATCAATATGAATTATTGAATTAAGGAACACGTATGGGTATGAATTATGAAATATGAATAGGTTATGGTTTATTAACATTTAAGAATTTTTGTACTTATATTATAATTTATATGTTTATTTAATTATATTATATAGTATGATCCGACGATTCAACCAGTGATCTGTCGGTTGAATCACTGACCTGCCAACCTGATCCTCCAATCAGGTTATGATTTTAATAATTATGATTTTAAGTATTACAACTAGTGTAAATGTCATAATATATAGGTGTATACAAAATGATTATATATATATATATATATTTAACTTCCGGTAAATATGTAAAACGAATGAAGGTCAAGAAGGCCGTAGTTTAGTTACGAAGATTGAGATTTAGGAATTAGATCTTGTTTGGATTGCGGTTTATTTGTCAAAATATATTTGCTTACATCATCATTACAATTTCCAATACACCTTTTTATCTTTCCAATTACCTTTTTATCTCACATACATCACATCACAAAAAGTGCTATAATAAAAATATCTCTAATAATTCACAATCCAAACAATTGAATTTAAATTTTCTGTTCCTCCGAGCACTTCTTAAATCTTACTCTCTTAAAGAAGCAAAAAAAAAAAAAAAAAAGTGGTAGAGCGAAGAAAGTAATGGGACGTGGCATACCATACATACATCCCCCGCCATGACAATGAAAGAAGAAGGAGATAAGGAATCAATAAGCATCTATCCGCCATTCTTGGTCTTGATCTCTAGACCATTTACTTGTGCTTGATGAAGACTGGACCTGAAGGTCCGGTCAGTGTGATGGAAAAGACCGACATTGCTTTCATCTTCTCGGGGCCCCCTGTAATTGATTAGCCTAAAAAGGTAGTAAATGGATCCGAGAAGTGATTCACAATCTTTCTCTACACCGTAAGTCTCTGCCACCATCCTCATCACCACATGATATAGTTCAGCAACAAGCTTTGAGTACGAGAGTGTTGTGTCACTGTTCAATTCAAGAAATCATAACCCTGAAAAGCACTAGTAATTTAACATGTCAAGTGAAATAACCACTCCACTGATTAACTGATGGCAGAACACGCATTCACACATTTATAAATGAGTACACACCTAAAATGATTGTTTCCATTGCGCCATAAGACGTTGGTGAATTTCTGAACTCCATCAAAAGTTGTGCCATTTTCGATGCCCAAAGCTTCGAGCAAAAGAATTCTACGGTGTCCGATCTAGCCATGAGAAGGTGAATCAGAAAGTGTCGAGGACTTTGGTTTCCGTCGGGAGATCAAACAACTCCAGGGATGCACGAAAGATAGCCTGGTGAAGTTCCAAGGAAACCTTACCGTAGTTCGCTATGAAACAGCCATACTCTTCCAGGGCTCAAACAACTTCTTCCCGTGTCGAGAGCCAACGAGTAGAACTGGGATTCAAGGTTTGCCCAGTGAAGTCTAGAACAGGAAGCTGGTTTTGCCTTGATACAGAACCCATGAAAAGAATCGAGTATCCTGTTGGTAGCTGGCTTTGCTCGGAGTTTTCCTAGTTTTAGAAATGGCAAAGGAAAATCTTTGGTATATGCTAATAGCTAAGTACTACTACCATTCAATTCACGCGTACGATACTTATAATTGTGGGTGGAAAAGGGTGTTATGGCATGTACTCCACTTTCTTTCTCCTTTTTTTTTGGATAATTTTTGTTCACCTCTAATTGCTCTCGTAATATAGAGCATCTGGTAGCATTTTATTCATGATTAGTGCACAATACTGAAGTACAGTGAAGGCGTTAAGCATTAATTAATGGAAAGCTAAGTACATGGAATGCCTTCAGCATTTTATTCATTATTAACTATTAACTATTGATAATTTGATATGGTAGAATAAACGTCCTTTCCAACATAAACTCAAAAATCCCCTTTCCTACAGCAGTGCAGCTTATCTGCTGTTCCTACAAGGCTACAACTCGGGACGGCTCCCTTCGATACATTGTCCCCTTGGAGTCACTACTATTTTAAACGTATTCAGATGCGGTAAGAAGCCTTTTGGGTAGAGTAGTTGGACATTGGGTATAGGTCATGGAATCAAAATCTCTTAATTTGTATTCTATAAATTCGGCTTATATTCTAAAAATTCAAGATTTCCTGAAAATTTCATCAGAGTGCATAGGATCCCCTATTATAAAGTAAGAATATGTATAGAATAAAATCTATCGTATTAAAAAGAAAAAGAAAAAGAAGCCTTTTGGATCGTGATCTTGCAAGTTGTAATATCATATCTTGTTACTATCAGATGGGTCATGAGGGACTCCAAGGCAATGAGAAAAAAAAAAAAAAAATCTCCTCATAATAATCCTAACTTGTTTTAGGATAAATTGAGTCACAACTCACACATGATTCAATGCCTCATTCTTTGGCTTCATAACAGCTATACTTGAAATGCTTTTTGATCTTAATAGACATCGTCTTAGTAACTAGGCATGTCATGGGCAATGTTTGAATTATATCCCTTTGATCCAGATTCAAGCTCATTAAATTTAGTTAGACCCAATGTCAAACCCTTTTGGGTCTGAGAAAAAAAGTCCATACCCAAATTCTCTTGAATTTGGGTATCCATTAGGTATTCGTTATATTTTTGTAAATGTACTAAAATAAAAATATATTAAAAATATATAGATTTCAAAAAAATATATAAACACCATCCAATTTTTATTTTCAAATAATAAAATTAATATTCAAAAAGTTGAATGCAATGTTATGAACTCAAAAAAATAACTACTATCAACTACTTTTATTTATTTTTAAGGAAAAATTTCAGATATCTCTCCCGAGGTTTCTAACAGTCTCACTCCCTCCCCCTAAGGTTTCCAAAATATCACAAACTTCTCCCGATAGACTTTTGGGTTCTATTTCTTTCATCATCATAGTCAAAAAGACTTAAATACCCACACAACTTAGCAAATATTTTGTGATTATCTAAACAAATTTAGTTAAGTTAGTTATAAACACAGTTAAAGTAATTAACAATAAATTATGTTCCTTTAATGAATACATAAAAAGGCTTTAGCAAAATGACGCCAAAATATGGCGCCAATTGGTATATATATAAAGCTGCAGGTACATATTGTCACTTCTCCTTAGTCTCTTCCAGCCATTTTTGATCATTTGCAAAGAATGACCTTTTTCCATGGCGGTAGGGATTGAATCTTGCTTATAAAAAGATGATTCCATTAGCTACTAGGCGGTACTGCTGCCACCACATTTGCAGCAACTTTAGGCTTCAGTTTCCTGGACTATTATTGAACGATTTATTCTGGAAAGCTGCTAAGAGCTATGATGCAATAGGTTACAACGAAGCAATAATGAGCATTAAAGACATTAATGTAAAAGCATGGAGATACTTATCAAAGATTTCACATGAATCTTGGATTAGGCACGCATACTCAAATGAGATGAAGTGTGATATGTCACAAATAATTTTACTGAATCTTTCTTCATGCATAGCTTCACTTACACCCCTTCAAGTTTTATTTTTGGTAAACTTCCTGTTTATTCTTCATGTGATATTAGCTCATAATGCAAGACAATGAGGTCATAGTTGTTTCTCTCTCCAACTCCCCATTTTTTGTTGTTACTTTTTTTGAAATGGGTTGGATTTGAGAATGCCTATTTAGTTTTAGGGGAGGTTTGTGATATTTTGGAAACCTCAGAGGAGGTATCTAAAATTATCCCTATTTTTAAAGCTTCGACTATATTTACATTTCATCTTTCATTTATTTGCCTTTATTTTTTCTCCTTTTTTCTTAAAAAGTTTGTACAAATTATAATGACAACTAGATTGAAAAAAGAAAATAATCATGAAGTCTTATTGTATTCAGTCCAATAACCATAGAATATTAGAATATTATATAAATTTACTAATATATATAATTTAATTATATATATATATATATATATATATATGAATCTGGATAGAGTCTGGTGTGGGTTTGAATTTAGATATAAATAATAAAAAATCATACACTATCCAGACCCATAACTTTTTTACAGGGCTTGGGTCTGGGTAGGGTTTAGATCTGAGAAATTAAATTCAAACCCTACTCAAGTACATTGGGTTTGAATTGGATCTAAATAAGGTCCGATCCATTGACATGTCTATTTGTAACTATAAACACACACACTTGCGTGTATTATTCCCTTGTATTTAACAAATTTATCTATTTAACTTCATTCTATTAAAAATATATTATTATTTCTCACCAGTGCCCGCAAGTTGTTTGCTAACAAGCAAGTTTTTTACGCTGATTCAGATAAGACTGATATGTTTTTCTCTTTAACTCTCCTTGTAATATCTTATTTCTACCAATGCAGTTTTCACATTAACAATAAAATTAAGTTCTATTCTGCTTACCTCTTGTTAGAAGAATCTTTTCCAATCTTTTCTGTGGGAAATACCGAAGGTTACCTTGATATTTTTAAAAGTCATTGGTGAAGAATTTAGTAAACTCGTCCTATTGGTCTATCGTTCAGAAGGAAAAATTTCATCATCTTTTATGAGCAAGGGTTTATTTTCAATGGCTTTGATTCAAACGAACAAGGCTTACCTCAATGTTTCTAATCTTTTTGAATAATTTTGATGATGGGGTCCTTAAAATATTTTGGTTCATCACGATATATTTTATTATTCAAGATTCATGATTTCTATAGGTAGGGTTTCCTTTCTTTCTAATCTTAAAAAATCTCCTTTTCCAATTTCATAGTTTGTAAGAACTGGAGAGTAGTCCCAGTACTCACAATTAGGGGTGGCAATTCGGGTCCAAATCAGGTTGACGGGTCGGGTTCGGGTCAACCCGTCAGAAAATCTGTTGACCCGAACCCGACCCGCCAACCCGTGACAGGTCAGGTATGCTGACCCGAATCCGAAAATTTCGGGTTGGCGGGTCAACCCGAAATGATCCGAAACTTAATTTTAATTTATTAATTTATCACTGTAATTTCTAATAAAATCAATTTCTCACAAAACTAATTACATAATCAAGTAATAAAAATTTAAATAAATAATTCCAAACCAAATCTAAAATAAATTAAACACCGTAAAAGTGTTTTATCCCAAACAAAATATAAAATAAATTAAAACAATATAAAAGTAAAAAATAATATAATATATTCTTTGTCCAAATATAATAATTTCAACTTCACACAAATTAAATAAATTCATTTAGGATTAAGTAATTAATGCCTTTGAAAAAAAGAATAACTTAGTTTAGTTAGATAAAATTATTTTTATGTTTATTAAATTATTTTTAATTCGTAAACGGGTTATATCGGGTCATATCAGGTCACCACGGGTTGACCCGAAATCGACCTGTTTTCTTTTCGGGTTCATCGGGTCCAACCCGATTCTGACCCGAATTCCCGAAACCTCAACCCAAACCCATTAATTTCGTGTTAGGTTCGTGTCGTGTTTTCAGGTCGTGTCGAAAATTGCCACCCCTACTCACAATCCTGTATTTCGCCAGACACATTAGTACAGTTTTGGTGATATCAATTTTTTATAATTATTTAGGATTTATCTTTTTTTATATTGACCATGCATTCAATAGTATCATTGAACGTATAACAATTAATTTAAATTTGAATTTAAAATCTAAATTTTATACATTTCAATGTGTTTACACTATTAATACTAGGTGCATTTAATAAAATTGAAATTTGAAATCTGAATTTTGAAATCTGAATCTATTAAATTACTAAATTGTTAATTATTAAATATGATACATTTGAATGCACTTATTTTTTTGGAGCAAATTTTGTTTAAACAATTCAGTGTCATTTAATTAATTCAGATGTTCCACTTTTTTTATGAAGCACATCTGAATATATTAAGATTTAAATTTATTAAATTTAAATGCTAAATTGAATTATCAAATAGAGCTTATATAAACTTACGACGAAATTCTCGTTACAAATTCGTAGAGGCACTTGTTAGTGATGAAAATCAAAACGGATTTGCTATACGAGCCCATTAATTGCCCAGATTTGGCAACTAAAGTTGAGTAAGACATTTGAATACATTTATTTTGCAAGAAAAATTATGGGTTTGTAGAAGTGAACAATCAGTAGAGGCCGAAAAATGGAATTTATAGCTTGGACTAAGACACTGCAACACCTGACCAATTTTGTTACACCTTCGGCCCATTTTGGTTACCATTTTCAAGCAGTCTGCCTCAAATTTCCATTTTTAGGTTCCGTTTGATAAAACTGAATTTGAATTCTGAAGTCTGAACTCTAAAATCTAAATACTGAAACAATTAATTTACTGAATTTTAAGCACTGAAAAGAAATATATGAATGTCTGAATTTTAATGTTGAACCTATTTATATTATTTGATACGCATTTATACTGAATGCTTAATAAGTTAAATTCTTATATCTTTTCATCCAAAAAAGAAATAGAACCTATGATTTAATTAGTTTAAAATTTTTAGGCATGAAAATGACAATATTTATTTTTAAATCAAATTAATATAAAAGATGAAATATATTATATGATGGGTATGGAGAAGATGTGAAAGTCATTAGAAAGGAAGAAAAGAGAAATAGAAAATCATTAGATAGAGAATATTAAGTTGTTTAATTAGATAAGAATTTTGAATATAATTAATAAATAAGGGTAGATTTGGTAGATAACATAAGATAGTTGAAGTTATTCTATTGATTCTTATCAAAATTAAGCAATTAATTAGGATTC